ATCTGAGGGGAAACGGCGGATTTGGCAACCCTGATCTGAGGGGAAACGGCGGATTTGGCAACCCTGCGGTGATGAGACTGATTGAACGCGATTACACTTGTGATACTGCGAAGATGAAGAAGTGTATTACAGTGAGATCTAAAGCACACTACGAGTAAGCCTGTAAGCTCTTACTGTCCGCCAGGAGCTGCGCCTGCATGTGACCCCGGAGCGCGCGGGAAGCGTCTCTGAGCTCGAGCCTCCTCGCCTCTCTCTCCTCTTGACACACGCTGAGTGAATACATCAATAATCAGTCTCTAATACACCACACAGACGCGAGGGACTCTGAGAAACACAATCAGACGCACTCACAGTCTTCTGAGAGCTTCCGCTTCCCGCTGAAAACCCGACACACACATTTGGGCGAAACAGAAGCTGTAACTATCCGCGAACGGCTGTAATAACCGTTAATCAGACGCAGCGAGACACCGAGCGGAACGCGTCCAGTGCCAGCCAGCGAGCTGTGTGCGCTTTGTTTGAACTGTTGCTATGGTAACGACGCACTAACGCCGTCCGAGAGACCCGCGGCACCGGAACCGGAAGTGAGGGGCGGAGTTATCGACAACGAGAGCGCACGTGAGTAGTCTGTAATGTTTGATAATTATCATATATATTACCTTAAGCATTTATCTGCTGAGTACTTAATGTGTGCTTGGCTTTATTATCTTATATTGAAGCTTGAATTTATTGTCACACTTTATAGCATATAACTTATTTCTGTTTCGATTAGTTTTCGGATGCGGCTGTAAATGGGCCTTGCGGTGAAGTTTTGAAGACGTTTATTATTCGTACAAATAAATTCCCTTTATTTGCTTTAATTCCCTCTGTTACATGCATTGTTTGTGTGTTAATATTACCTTGAAGGTGAGTTATTTTAATCCCATTAGTCATCTTTGAGATAACTGTGTCTTCATCTCTTGTAGAGATATATAAGGATTCAGAGAGGTACAGCTCCAGCCAATCACAGCGCACCGGATAGCTGGCCAATCACAGCGCACCGGATAGCTGGCCAATCACAGCGCACCTCGCTTTTTAGACCGATGAGCTTTGTAGCGTTTCAGAAAGAGGAGAAACAATAATGTACAGTATGTGGAAAATAATGTGTTTTTTACTTTAAACCGCATAAACACATTTCATTACACCAAATACACAAAATACTGTTATTTTTAGCAGCATCACATGACCTTATGTGTCCTTATAGACACTTGCGGCACTTTGGACCGTGCACACGATTTTCACGACTTTTATTTATTTTAATTTTTTTAACGTGACCTCAGATTCAGCTCTTACATGCGTGTTGTGAGTTTGGCGAAGATATCTCATTCCGTTCTAAAGTTAAAGCTGTTTTAGTAAAGGCGGCCCTGCCCCTTTCAAACGTTTGGCGCCCCTTTGCGACAGAGTCTCGAAAGTTAAACTTTTTTTTGATAATTATTGGTATTCCTGCACTGGTTTGCTTCCGATCGGATACAGAACAAAACCTAGGACTATTTTGCAAAAAATGAAAAAATCCAAAATACCCGAAAGTTTCGGCTGACGACTGAATCCGAGGCGTGAGCCAAGGATTCCAACGACTTGCAACTCTGGAGTCTGCGCCCGACGGTTTATGAGCGATATCGTACTTCTGATTGCTGTAGCGCCCCCGTCAGGCCGATCGGGGCGAGCCTTGGTCAGGCGGTGTGAGTACGACCATCCCTCCCGGTTTCAGCTCTCTACGACTTACGGTTTGGTCTGCACGATCAGTGTCACGTGGAGGTCGCTGACCCTTGGCCTTTCCAACAGCTCCAATAGGAACAGGACAACGGACTCTCACCAGTCGATCAGGTGCAGCGGGGACAGATGGAGAAGAGGATCTGGTTTACTCGGTGCTGATGTAACCGTATCCATCAGCGGGATATCTGTGATAGTAGATCCCCATTGATGAGCGACACGATCATCTGGGAGCGTTAATAGATTGAGCCTCCAGGGCAACACAGAGACACTGTTTATTTATTTCTCCCTCTTTATCCTCCTGAGAGTCACTGTAGAGTTTGAAATGCCAAACAAACCCGGTTTAGTGCATAGTGTCTTGAAGATCTCTATGCAATAGGACAACACAGAATCTGGCCGTCAGTGAAGTCTGGAGCAAATATTCAAATCAAAGCCTTTATTTTTATCACTCAGTATTTGTTCATCTGTATCTGTGCTGCACTTACACGGCAAATATGACACCAAAGCGCCTCTGAACATTGCAGACATTGTTTGCATAAAAGCATTTACACAGCTATTGCACCTTCCATCAGCGCTGTGACCCTGCGGTCCGAGGAGGCGTAGTTTAGCCTGGCTTTTATGCCGCAGTGTCTTTACATGGAATTTTAAACAGCTGTAACTTGGTGTAAAGACACCTTTGGACGTGCAAACTACACCCATTAGGTTCACTGCAGGTTCCCAGTAGCACATCTAACACGAGGCATCCAGAAGACCTGCACACTGCTCCGAGTTCAAGTTTTTGACCGGAGCCAGCGCTGCACACAAACTCTCGTAGAGTTTTACACAGAAACCAATACATGTGCAAAGAAATCAAAGAGCAATGGCTCTACAAGTGAGTCGTTCAAAAAAGTACTTTTGTGAACATTTCTTCAGTTGATAAATGTTTTCTGGTTGTTTTAGAGACTGCTCTCTCTCAGAGCAGCGTGTCTAGATGTCTGTCCACATCAGTGATGATCTGCTGCAGCACTCACAGAAGCCCGATCCACAAACACTCCTCAGGAATATCTCACGCTCACGTATAAAAGACCACATGCTGAACTGAGCGACACACAGATCACACCCTCTCTCCAAGCTCACCTAAATCATCCTATAGAACCAGGAAAACAAGAGAATAAAACACATATACAGCGTCCGCAAACAGAGTCAATACACCAACTATATCAAAGCATCGCAGTCACTGAATATTTGCAGGGTTTTCTCCAGAGAGCAGCTCTTTAGATGTGATTCTACTGGTGTTTCCACACAGAAACACTGTCTGTGATGACATCTAATGACTCACTGTAAAAGAAGAGAAATCCCCGTCACACCTGAAAAAAACTCAGACAAACACTCAAGTGCAACAGAGGTTTATTGTCAATTATGCTCTAAGGACATCAACAAGCTTTATGCTATCGTAATATGAATATCAAATTTCACTGCAATAAAGTGCAAGTCCTTTGACTGTACATCTGTTTTATTTACTAGTGTATTGTGCCTGTAAGAGAATCGAAAGCCCTTGAGTTCAAACCGCACAAAAGTAGCTGAAGCTGAACTGAAACTACACGGAGCTGAAGAGTCCATCATCATCATCATCACAAACTCAGACTTCAAGCAGAGCTGGTAATGTTATAATGCCGCTGGTTTAAACCGTGAAACGCCAGCACGTGCGGTGCGATAACAATCGGGAGGTTTGGTTTGGGTTCAATGATTAAACACTGGGCAGGCCGTTCCTCCATCGGATCAGGAGACAGAGAGGAAAAGAGGACCAAAAACAGGCATTCGCATGAACACGTGGCACAATCCAGTAACACAGAACAGTCCCATAATACAGCCTGTGCATAGGAAGAATAAAAGCACTTATGGTATCGGCAAACATCAAGCACGTAACGCTCGCAAGGGCTGGGAAAATAAACCGATGCATCGCGAATCGAGAAACGATTCCGCATCGATTCTGAGATTTCCCGAATGCGTGGCGATTCTTTCTCCAGTCGAGTCTGAGCTTAGTTCTGAACACCGCATGCTTCAGAAACAGCCGTACTCTGCTCGGCTCCAAATCCTTACACACACTCGAACCTCAAATAACCATTCATAAGAGTCGAAAAAGTTGAAGCGAATTACAAGGGTGTTCACAATGGGCTGTGTTTACATTAATCTGGCGTAAAGTTGCAAAAAGGTGGAAAATTTCCAGTAAATTTTGGAAACCTTCCAGGATTTTTTTGGAATATTCCAGGGATTTTTGGAAATGTTCCACCCCTTTGCAACCCTAACTGGCGTCATAAAAGCATTCTGAACCGAGGTGAAGTTACGAGCGCTCTTCTTCATGAGCATTTGAGTGAGCAGATAAAAACTAGAGTAGAGCGCCATCTGCTGTTAAAAATCTACACTCAGAATTGATTCCAGAGAGAATCGTGATGCATTCAGAAGATCTCAGAATCCATATGGATTTATCGCCCTAATGCTGGCTCACGCTGGCAGAACCGAACCCACCGCTGCGGCCGTCTCTGCATAGAGAAAGCAAAGGCGATGAAGAAACGCAGCAG